AATAATTTGTGCAAAAGCTACTTTCGCACAATTTATGGTAGCCTATTAAGGATACCCTATATATTTATATTCAAATTTACTAACAGACAAAACTATACGATATTGCTTTATTGTATAAGTTAATATTACACGAATGATTAAATTATATAAGAAAAAAACATTTAGGCATACTGCTGTGTTTTTTATAAAATTAAATTATCTGTATAATATATTATATGTGGTCTATATAGTGCAGTTGTATTTTAATGGAGAAACTGAAACCGTTTTTAAAATTTATATAGTAAAAATCTGGCATTCAGAAATTAATGTATGCAGCATACGTTCGATTAATTTATATTTAATAATGACTATACGATAACACTAATCATTTATTAATTCCGTTCAACAAAAAGGTGCGAATCTGACACATTATGAAAGCTATTGTTAATAACTGGGGAAAATGATAAAAAGAGAGAGACCTTTATACGCTTGATTAAAAAGAAAATCCTAATGCTGCCGGAAGGCCAGTGGAGTATAATGACTTTGATCATTTCTTGCTTTAATCGACGAATTTCAGCGTATTCCGATGCCTTGGGCGATCAGTTAAGCTTTGATAAATGTAACCTTGTTTTCCTCTAGGTGCTCAAGATAAATGTATAAACTGACAAGACGATTTTGTGTTTTTCCCCAGCGATTAAAAGGCCATAGCAGGGAAATGTTGGTATAGAAATAAGTATGTTGATTTGTGGGACTTAGCTGCTGCCCAAAGAAAATGCCCTGCAGCACAGATCGTTTGGAGCTGGTCTGATTCTTTCACTGCGGGGCAAACGCTGCGCCTTTATTCGTCTCAGAGCCTCTAATGATTAAACATGTCACAAAGAGATTAACACGCTGCCCATGGCCCAGGGACATGCCTTCATTTGTTTAACTACCAGTTTATTTGCAACGGTGAATTTCATGGCGCATAGTGTTAAATTTTCCATCCTTTATCAGAGTACACCCAAAGCAAATTGGTTTAAGGATTATCATTTTAATCACGTTTTTTTCTCACTATCGTAAAGTCCACTGGGAGTTTTTCGGTATATTTTTTTGAAACCCGTTTGAAATTAATTAGAGATTAATTGAAATAATTTGTGTCTTTGCTCTAAGCCCATGTTAAGTTAGAAGTACAGCCTGTTTTCAGAGCGAGATTTCTTTTTTGTCACACCAATAAATGATACTTGCATGTAGTAAGACGATTTCCGCAGAAGGTGATGGGTGATGATGGCGGTGGACACCAAAGAGACATTTCCGATACTCGGGCGAACTCTGCCGGTACAAATGCGTATAGTCTGAAAAAAAAACTGCAATGAACAGCGCTTTTTTCTTTTGCGACTTTGTATGTCTATAATAATAAAAAGCACTGTTCATTCCAGTTTTGTTCTTTTTTTTGTGAACTTTATGGAAAACTAAAATGTTACACTTAGGCCTACATAGGATTGGAATGATATTTTGTATTCTGTTTAGGGCTACTTACATTAGGTTACCTACGTTAATTCATTGTGTTTACCATAGCAAGTGCAAAATTTGTAACTACGCCACCTTTTATGATTACTAAATAAAATGAATAAACACAAACTGTTGGTAACGTAACACGTTTTTGACTTGTAAAATGCTTGATCCTTTACTTCAACGCTAAAATACGTTTGGATTAACCTTGTGATATTTAACAACAAAATATTATAGGGAAATAATAAATACAAATAACCAAATGATGATAACGATAATTATAATAATAATAATAATAATAGGCTAAATGTAACAAGCATCATCATTACAACAATATAATTTTTTTATTATTTAAATGTAATTTTCAATAGTAAAACTCTGTTTCGGGGACGACGCGGTTTAAACTTTGATTCATTCCCTCAGCTGTAAAGTTTTTAAATTTAGGGTAGAATTTGTATAATGTGCTTTTGTTTATTATGTGTGACATGCTTGTATGCTGCAACCGAATTGCCTTTGGGAAATGAATAAAGACTGACTGACGCGTTGGCGCAGTATGTAGTGCTGCCCCCTCACAGCAAGAAGGTTGCTGGTTCGAGTCTCATCTGGATCAGTTGGCGTTTCGATGTGGATCTGTATGTTCTTCCCGTGTTCGCTTGTGTTTCCTCCGGTTTCCTATACAGCCCAAAGACATAAGCGCTATAGGTGAATTGAGTAAGCTAAATTGTCAGTAGTGTATGTTTTTTTTCCAAGTGATGAGTTGTGGCCGGAAGGGCATCCGCTGCGTAAAACATATGCTGAATGAATTAGCGGTTCATTACACTGTGGCGACCCCAGCTTAATAAAGTGACTAAGCCGAAAAATAAATAAATAAATGAAACTATATGTGACACCAAGTTATATAATGTTTTA